TAGACTGCTATTTTAATGGGTTTGAGAAATTTGAATTTAGAAGAGGGAGAGAGATTGGACAGTCACTAAAGGAATATGTAATATTGAAGAGACATTGTTATTTCTCTTAGTATTGAAAAACTTAAGCATATTTATTGGCTAAAGAGAAGGAAGGAAAGACTAATTCAGAGATGAAATGGAATGACTGAAAAATTGAGTAGAAGAGGAAAAAGACGAAGATGTATTCAAGGATTCAGAAGCGTGGTTGTCTGTGATCCAGAGTAAGTTCCACTCAATCTTTGACTGTAGGAGAGCAATTGGTGTGAATGCAGACAAGGAAGATAGAGGGACATAGGGGCCTCAGTTTTCTACAATCCTTAAAAGATATAAGATCATTGCTGGGAGTAAAAGGAGTGAGTGTTGAGTAGGACACTTGACACCAGTGAAGATTTGGAAGAACTTAATTGAGAAATGAAAAAGGAAAATCACCAAAATGTGGTAAATCAGTCTCTTGACTGATGAATAACATTTGGTACAATTTTGAGAGCATGAGTTTGCAGTTAGCAGGCAATGAAGTAATTAACAATCCTGGTATAAAAGTGAGAAAAAAAAGACAAAAACCAACACAGTAAACCAAAGTTACATTTATATTAATGGATAAAGTAAAAGGAAAAAAAATGAAGAGAACTGTGAGTACTAATGAAAGAGTAGTTCAGTGATCCATTACGGGGCCTAGGTTTGGTAGCAAAACATGAGAGGTTAGAATACAACATATAGACTGGGGGGAAAAATGTAAGATTCAAAGTACCAAGAAGATTAAAGGACAGTTAATATGTGAGCAAGGTATTGAGGGTTATAAAATGTGGTCTATGCAAGAAATTGAAGTTTACTATTTTAGAGTAGGAGAGATGATAATGTCTAGAGAAAGACCATAAAAGTGAATGGAATGGAATGCAGTGGGGGTTTAGGCTACAAAGACTGATGGTGTTAAATGCAGAATGGCTCATCAACATGGAGATTAAGTAATTGTCATCATGGCATAGAAGTTGACACAGTCAGACTCCACATTGAATGAAGAGGAGAGATGATTAAACCAATGAGGGACAGCAATGAGTAAGGATAGAGAAAAAAAAAAAAGGAGTTTTATAAAATGGTGTATGAACAAAATTCTAGAAGCAACTTTGGGAAGCAAAGGAAAGATAAACCTACCTCCTGACACTAAAAAAAGGCTAAAAGAAAAACATATTTGTGGTCAGCAGGTGGCATTGTAGTTAAGGCACTGGACTCCCATATGGACAACAATGGTTTGAGTGGTCAAACATAGGGGTAAATATATATATATATATATGTATATGTATATATATATATAAAATAAATGCTTCTTTAAAAAGATTAAGGAAACTATATTTTTGGATGTTAGGAAGGTATAAGTGTTGATAAAAGACAAGGTTAGCATGGGAGGATGTGTTTATAATAAAGAGTTCCAGAGATTATTCAAAAGATAGGAGTAGTAAGATTGGGAGTAGGAATGAGAAAATCTGCATGATAAGAGAATGTAAATAGTAAGAAAAGATGACTTAAAGGCTTTATGTTTGGATAGAAACCACTGAAAGGAAGCTGATAGAATGTGTGGGCCCCAATGAATCAAAGAACATTGATGTAAAACAGCCTACCACTTTGGTAGACTGATTTAATATTTTAATGTTCTAATGACCCATGTGGAAATAACCCTTAAAAATCAGTGACTCAGCTAAGAGCTCTAATTCTGGCACAGAAACAATAGGGTGTAGTGAGAAGCCCCCTTTGAATGCACTGAGTCCTCTTCTGCTCACTAGTCAACTTTCTTCTACACCTTTGTCTTTGTCTTCATCTCCTCCTTCTTTCCTCCTTCTCACTCTTCCTCTCCTTCTGGTTTTTCTTTTCTTTCTTCTCTCTCAATAGGTATCCTTGACAGTTTTCTCCATGCCATAACCCTCCCCTCAGCCTTCCAGCCAGCCAGAATCACAAGCATACATGGGTGTACCTGGTGTATTCTGGTCAACTTGGGATCCAAACCTGGTCCTGCATGTGGCTCCAGTATTGCACAGTGGCACTCCACAAGCTGGCACTCTTGTTTTCTTCTATGAGCTCTTTATTATTATTCTATCTTGGTTTAGCCAAAATATATCAATCTCCTTATCAATCTTTGTTTAAGCCCTCATTCCTTGTTCATTTTGGTTACTTTAGCTGTTAATTTTTATACAGGTTTATTATTTACAATAGATGATTAAAATATCTGCTACTTACCCATTAAAGCATTTTTATCTTGAATCTCTCCTTGAGAGACTTTATACTTTCCTGTGGAAAGAATAATTTCCTCTCTGGAGCTCAAACTAAAAGTTGACATCATTTTTGTTTCTCTCATTGAACAAGGATATTTAAACTTGATCACTCCTGTGTAATTCCATTTAATTTCCTCCCATGGTTTCACACTTATATAGCATTCTTATTTTACCACTTTATACTACCTCCCAATTGGGTTATGTAATAACTGTTGATAACTTACAGAAAAAGCATGTTCTGTTATCTTTATCTTTCTACACAGGTATAATTTCCACTGCCTTGGAGTCATCTAGGATGCTCTGTGTAAGCATGAATAATGTAAGAATGACCTGGAAGATCGAGTAACTCTACACCTTTCTTTTAAAAAGGCAAAGTGCAATTTAGAAATTCTGACTGCAGAATATTCCCCAGAACTTTACTCTCATCATTGCAGAGCTGGGAGCAAAACAGAGGGCAGAAGTGAACTGCCTTTGCTCTAAGATCAGAGCTTGCTTTTGTGTGACTTGCTCTCAGACATCATTATTTCTGATGCCATGACCTGTCCAAATGCTGGAATTTCCTTGCCTAGCCCTACCATTGGGATCTACCTAACTCAAACTCTCTGATTTCTATTTGAACTTAACCTAAACAACATTCATCCAGTCTTATTTGTTGTTCTGGGATCAACCTACTGCCTGCATTTCTAAAAGATGAAGAAGATAGACTTTGGATGGAAAGTGCTTGAAGTTAAACCTAGAGGGAAGAAATTCAAACAAAATTACAAACCCATACACTGCGAGAAACAATGTCCTGCTCTTGCTAAACCATTCCATTTATAAAGACAACGAGATGGTATGACCAAATCTATGTAAATGGATTGGCAAACTTATACAGATTACCTTGAAGGCCCTGCTAAAGATTTTGAATTTTGTTCCCAAGGTTATTAGGAAACCCTAGACTTTGGAATAAGATATTGGTTTAACCAAATCTGTATAAATTACCCATTTGCATAGATTTGGTCATACCAATATCCTATTCCAAAGTCTAGGGTTTCCTAATAACCTTGGGAAGGAAATCTAAAATTTTTAGCAGAACTTTCAAGGTAATTTATGACCAAACTTTAATCTACCATTCTATTTCCATCTCTTACCACTTTTAATCCTGCCCTCATGTTCCAGCCACATTGTAAAGTTCTTTTCCTTGATACTGACAGTTTTTCATCTGCTTTTGTTTGGCCTATGTTAGTATATACTTGTAAACTGCCTTTCTACCATCTTTTGCCTGAAGAACACCTTCACAAACCTCAAATCCTATCAAGTTTCAACATATCCTCTTCTAGAAATTTTCTCTAATGTCTACAGCCATAGACAATGGGTGTGTTCTATATGTTCTTTCTACATATGTCGATTTCAACTGTTGACAAGTTTGTAGGGCAGCCTGGCAGGCTGAAAAATTGGGGGCAGTAGCTTTTGCTTTCATGTAGGAATTCGTTTTTAGAGAAATCTCAGTTTTGCTCTCAATGCCTTTCAACTAGTTGGATGAGGGCTACCCAGATTATTGATCATAATCTCGTTTATGTAAGGTCATCTGACTAGATGTTAACAACATCTACAAAACACCTTTTTAGCAACACCTAGATACATGTTTAATTGAATTATAAGGTACTACAGCCTAGCTAAGTTGGCACGTAAAACTAACCATCACAGAATATAACTATTGCTATCCCATTGAAACCAAGCTTTCAATATTTGAAAGTAGCTCTACCAGAAGGCTATTACTATGAGATCATATGGATCCTATGATTTTTAACCTTTTTTCTTTATTAGTACATATATTAGCTATTAAATAGCTAGAATATATAAGGAAATTTTTTATTAAAGATTTATTTATTTATTTATTCATTCATTCATTCCTTCATTTTAATTTGACCAGAGAGAGGCAGAAAGAGAGAGAGAGGAAAGTGAGAAAGCAAGTCACCAGGTCCAGGACTTGAACCACGGTCAGCCATGTGGGAGTGTCCAGTGCCTTAACCACTATGCCACCTGCTGGTCCCCAAATATATAAGGAAATTTTTTCAAGTTTGTGGAAGAATGGAAGTAAAACACAAGTTCATTTCAGTGCAGGAAAATTTAAAAATCTGTGCCTAGTATGTTCATAATGTGCATTTTTTTATAAACTTTTTGAAGACTTATGCATATGAGGATATCTACAAGTTTCTATTCAATAACAAAGATGTAAAATACATAAAGCAAAATTAACATAATTAAATAAACAAAGAAACAATTTTATATTCATAGTTGGAGATTTTAATTATATACTGTGGAAAACTTGTAGAACTAAACAAAAATAAATCAGTAAAGCTATAAATGATCTGAAATATAAAATCCTTTAACCTACTTTATGTTTAGAAAACACAATACTAAAAACCTGAATGAATATAGCGTCTTTTCATAATACATTCACAAAAATAAATGCCAAACCAAAAAATATCTCACAAAATTTAAGAGGATAAGTAACCATATTAGCATCTTCTCAGATAACAACAGAATTAAATTATTAACAGTGATATATCTAGATGTCATTACATTAGGCTCGAACAGTAAGAAACTGTGTGTGTATCTATGTGTATGTGTATAAAATATTTACATGTACATTTACACACACTAGCATATATGACATGCAGATTTCCTCAGCAGGAGAGCAGCTAAATCATCACTGTACGGTTGTCTTTGTGACTGATGCTGGAGTGAGGCCACAGGGAGGTAGTCATGAAGGAAGGGTCCTAAGAAGGTTGAAACACACAAGCACAAGTTAGAAACCCACAAAGATGTGACTAAAACTTATATCCATTCTTGTTGCCATTGACATAGTGATCTTAGAGAAGCTAGAATCTTTTATTACTACTAAATACACACATCTGACCTCTGAGCCAGAGAAGCTGTGAAAGGACCCAGGAGATGATAGAACAATAGCAGGTCCAGCCCTGGCTTCCTGTCAATGAAGTCAATCAGTAGATGATCAGCACCCTGTATGAGCTATGAAATAGCTTTTGCTTCCCTTATATCTTCCTAATCTTCCAGAGAATCTCTCTTACTGCACACCATAACCAGAAACATACAAGAAAAGGATTTTACGAAATATAGTTGAGCCTAGCCTAGTTGACACATTATGAAGCATTCACACCAGAAAAACTTCAAATACTTAAAAATTCACAACCCACTATTAAATAGTCCATGTGTTAACGAAGAAATCACAAGGGCAGGTATAAAATATTTTGCAATGAATGATGATGAAAATGCAACATAAAATTTGCAAAATGCAGCTAAAGCTATACTTAGAAATTTACACCTTTATAGCTTTAGATGCTAATGTTAGAAAAGAACAAAGGTTTAAATCAGTGATCTCTACAGAAGTAATTAATGTCCAAAGAAATTGGAAAGAAGAATATAGAAAAATGAAAATTAATGAAATAGAAAGCAAACAATAGAGTAAATTAATAAAGTGAAAAATTGATTCTTTAAGAAAGCATCAAAGTTGATACCTTCCTAACTAAATTGCTCCAGAAAAAAATAAAAAGTTATATGTGATTCAATGTAATATAAACAAGATTATGATAATAAAAAAAGAAAAAAGAAAAAGAACACAAATTGAAAACATCACTTTTAAAAGAGAACACCAATACTTATCTGAGAAACATTAAAAGTATAATGAAATATTGTAGAACAATTTTATACAATGTATTTGCCAAATTAGATTAAATAAATTATTTTCTTGAGAAATAAAACTTATTAAAACAGGGAGTAGCAGATGGTGTAATGGTTAAGTCACTAAACTCTCATGTAGTTGACCGTGGTTCGAGTCCTGGACCTGGTGACTTAAAATGCATGCTGGGCACATGTGTGTGCATGCCCAAAATCCTGAGAGGAGAATGGAGGAGAAGGGATTGCGGCATTGCCATCCCCCACTGGGATGTAATTTTTCGCTTTCTGTTTCTTTGTTTTTCACTGTCTCTCCAGCAAGCACACGTGCCTTACAGCAAAAGTCTCTCAAAACAAAACAAAACAAAACTTACTAAAACTGACAGTTAATGAAAGAAAATCTGAATATGCCCATTTCTCTTTAAAAATACCCTCCCTGGGACTAGCAGACAGCATAATGGCTATGTTGCTGGACTCACACTTAGTCAACCTCTGTTCAAGTCCTGGACCTGGTGACTTAAAACTCATGCCAGGCGCATGTGCGTGCCCAAGATCCCAAGAGAATTGTGGAGGAAAAGAGATTGCATTGTCTGGGACCAGCAGTTAGCATAATGGCTATGTTGCTGTATTCCATGTAGCCGACTGTGGTTTGAATCCTGGACCTGGTGGCTTAAACTCATGCCAGGCATATGTGCATGCATGCCCAAGATCCGAGAGGAGAATGGAGGAGAAGGGATTGTGGCGTGGCCATCCCCCCTGGGGGGTGATTTCTCACTTTCTGTCTCTCTCTGTCTTTCTGGCGAGCACACGCGCCCTGTAGCAAGAACCTCTCCAAAAAAAAAAAAAAAAAGAGAGAGAAAAGAAAATCAATAGGGGGTTAGGAGC